CGCTGTTTTTTATTTCCTGATTTGACATTTAATATGTTGTGTGCTCCCTTGACTGTGAGGTGGGCCGAGCTGGGAAATTTGTATTCTGTTTTTCATGGTTGGAAAATTGAGAAGTACCCCGGGATCGCCATCGCGTATTAAAACGTGTTGGGGGAAAAAGATAAGGTATTGACTGGTTAAGAAATAGGCTTTTTTAAACCCAGATGAGGTCCGGGAATTTAATATGCAAAATTTTGTCTTTAAAGGAAACATAAAGGGTTGTAAAACCTCAAAAAAGGTTTTTAAGCCGAAATTATGGAGGAGGGCAGGGAGCAGACAATGCGTCACCCCCTTTCCCCAACTTAATACAAATGGGTAATGGAAGGTTACTCACTGTCTTAAAAGATCCCAGAAAAACATTCAGAATGAAATTTGAATTACCAGGTTGTAAAAACAAAATACCCCAATTCGTGCAGCGATCATTTTGCATTGTCGATATAAAAAAGGGCAAAAGGTGCTCAAAATATTTAATCGAGTAGCTGCAGAAAAAAAACACCCTTTTTTAGGTTGGTTGCGGAAAGGGTCAGAGGCAAAAAAGGGTAAATATGGGGCCAACAGAAGACAAAATAAAACATCTGGCGGAGAACTTGGGGGGAGAGGGTAAAAGTACCAAGGAAAGTCTCCTGTGTGGGGTTTATAACAAGGGCCGGGAGTAAAAGAGAGTGGCCAGCGGTGCTATGGAGGTGGAAGTCCAACAGTGATTCACCACAACACTCACAGGTGATCTGATGTTTATACAGATGATTTGGTGTTGGGAGGAAAAAAGAAATGTCCTGGGGGGTGTCATAGCCAAAGCCCAATGGAAAATCTTTAGTACAAGGGACAGCCTAGGCATACACCACCAACAACAATCCCGCATGAGAATGGAGGTAGATGCGGTAAACTGTAGTACTCCAGTGGCTAGAGAAAAAGATGGCATACACATGTAATAATTGTAACAGACTCTGAAAGCATGCTGAGAAAGGTGAAGGCAGGGATGCTTCGAAGGCGGGCAGAGTGGCTTCACTGGAAAGGTTCACGGGTAGTACAGCACAGTACTTTGAATCTTTTCTCGACCGTGCTGGCATAGTGGGTGATGAATAGGCAGATATATTTCTGGATCTGCACCATTGGGTGGTGATTGATACATGACATGGCAGTGGTCAAGGCCCTTTGGGAATAAGCAACAGATTAGTTAGAGACAAGATTATTTTGGCCTGGAGCGAACGAGGGTACCTTGGTGTAACCGAGAGGTCTGGCCCGACACTACACTTGGAGGAAAGGCAAAAAATGGACATATAAAACCAGACGCGACCAGTACCATCAGAATTAGAACTGTGATGGCTGCTGAGGATAAGGATGGAGCACACATGGAAATGCCCTGAGCGCTGTGACGTCAGTTCTTGACTCAACTTACCTGGAATAACATAACTGTTTATCCAGAAACAAAACATATGACTGACACTACACATGGATAAACATGTAGCATATTTTCATTGTGTCAAGGAACAGGAGATGGATACCCAGGTAACATTATAACTGTGTGAGGGGAAAGGAAATAGATACCCATGTTAATAAAAAAAAAAAAAAAAAAATGATAACTTGCAGAAACAAGCAACAGACTAACCTGATCCACAATTTCCCAGTCTACAGAATAAGCATAGAGCTCCTCCTTAGCTGTAGGAATGCTTTCTATCAATTGTTTGATTCGCTGTCGTTTGTCTTCTGCCGATGCTAATTTCTGATCATTGGGAGTAGACTTCTCCTCATCATAATCAAGAGGAATCAATTTGCGTTTCTTGGGTTCCATGCTATCATCATCATCCTGGTTAAAAACGTCTCCAACTGTGAATGTTTTACGCTTACCATCGGCTAGGGTTGGAAGGCCAGGTAAACTGGAAGAATCAGGACTAACACCAGGACCTGAGAAGAGAAACCAGCTCCATTTAACAGTAAGCGACATATATCTCATTCCGACAGTTAAAGCAATATGATCAATGACACATGTCTCATTCTGACAGTTAAAACAATGTGACAAGGACACATGTCTCAATCTGACAGCTGAGAGGCGAACTGCTTGGTCTCGAGTTCTAGAGGTTCCGGGTTCAATCCTCTAAAGGGGCTGGGATTTTTTTCTAGTAATTCACCCTGGTCTGTGGGTAGTGAGATCAGATGCTAGTGTGCATTATTGTGCACGTAAACAAATCCTTTGGCAGTTGAAATCAAAAAGAGTAGCCTAACGGCGCTGCCCAGGAAAATTTTTTAGTTAAAAATCTACACAAAGTATTTCAGGATTCTTGCCGGTGCCTGTGCTGAGCTTTTTCTGACTCAGACTTGAAGAAGAACAGAGCACTTATGGGTCCCTACCCGTGTGCCATGATGTTGATATGTTGTTCAAACCTCAAACCTCTGACAGATAAAACAAAACCTCTGACAGATAAAACAATGTGACAATGACACATGTCTAATTATGACAATTAAAACAATGCGACAATGACACACATCTCATTCTGAAAACAAGAACAATGTGGTCAGTGATACACATCTCATTCTGACAGAATAACCTGGTCAGTGACACATGTCTCATTCTGACAGTTAAAACAATGTGGTCAGTGACACATGTCTCATTCTGACAGTTAAAACAATGTGGTCAGTGACACATGCCTCATTCTGACAGAATAATATTGTCAATGACACATGTCTCATTCTGACAGTTAAAACAATGTGATTAATGACACATGTCTCATTCTGACATTTAAAACAATGTGATTAATGACAAATGTCCTATTCTGACAATTAAAACAATGTGATTAATGACACATGTCTCATTTTGACAGTTAAAACAATGTGGTCAGTGACGCATGTCTCATTCTGACAGTTAAAACAATGTGGTCAGTGACACATGTCTCATTCTGACAGTTAAAACAATGTGGTCAGTGACACATGTCTCATTCTGACAGAACAATGTGGTCAGTGATACACATCTCATTTTGACAAAACAATGTGGTCAGTGACACATGTCTCATTCTGACAGAACAATGTGGTCAGTGACACATGTCTCATTCTGACAGTTAAAACAATGTGATTAAAGACACATGTCTCATTCTGACAGTTAAAACAATGTGATTAATGACACATGTCTCATTTTGACAGTTAAAACAATGTGATTAATGACACATGTCTCATTCTGACAGTTAAAACAATGTGATTAATGACACATGTCTCATTCTGACAATTAAAACAATGTGATTAATGACAGATGTCTCATTTTGACAGTTAAAACAATGTGGTCTGTAGCGCATGTCTCATTCTGACAGAACAATGTGGTTTGTGACACGTTTCACTCTGACAGAGCAATTCTGTCAGTAACGTGTCTTATTCAGACAGAACAATATGGTCAGTGACACATGTCTCATTCTGACAACTAAAAGAATATGGTCAGTGACATATGTCTCATTCTGACAACTAGAACAATGTTGCAGCGGATTAGACACACGTCTCATTCTGACAACTAGAATAATGTTGCAGCGGATTAGACACACATGTCTCATTCTGACAACTAGAACAATGTGATTAATGACACATGTCTCATTCTGACAATTAAAACAATGTGATTAATGACACATGTCTCATTTTGACAGTTAAAACAATGTGGTCAGTGACGCATGTCTCATTCTGACAGTTAAAACAATGTGGTCAGTGACACATGTCTCATTCTGACAGTTAAAACAATGTGGCCAGTGACACATGTCTCATTCTGACAGTTAAAACAATGTGATTAATGACACATGTCTCATTCTGACAGTTAAAACAATGTGATTAATGACACATGTCTTATTTTGACAGTTAAAACAATGTGGTCAGTGACACATGTCTCATTCTGACAGTTAAAGTGATTAATGACACATGTCTCATTCTGACCATTAAAACAATGTGATTAATGACACATGTCTCATTTTGACAGTTAAAACAATGTGGTCAGTGACGCATGTCTCATTCTGACAGTTAAAACAATGTGGTCAGTGACGCATGTCTTATTCAGACAGAACAATATGGTCAGTGACACATGTCTCATTCTGACAGTTAAAACAATGTGATTAATGACACATGTCTTATTTTGACAGTTAAAACAATGTGGTCAGTGACACATGTCTCATTCTGACAGTTAAAACATTGTGATTAATGACACATGTCTCATTCTGACAGTTAAAACAATGTGATTAATGACACATGTCTTATTTTGACAGTTAAAACAATGTGGTCAGTGACACATGTCTCATTCTGACAGTTAAAACAATGTGATTAATGACACATGTCTCATTCTGACAGTTAAAACAAAGTGATTAATGACACATGTCTCATTCTGACAATTAAAACAATGTGATTAATGACACATGTCTCATTTTGACAGTTAAAACAATGTGGTCAGTGACGCATGTCTCATTCTGACAGAACAATGTGGTCTGTGACACATGTTTCACTCTGACAGTTAGAGCAATTCTGTCAGTAACGTGTCTTAATTCAGACAGAACAATATGGTCAGTATCACATGTCTCATTCTGACAACTAAAACAATATGGTCAGTGACATGTCTCATTCTGACAACTATAACAATATGGTCAGTGACATATGTCTCATTCTGACAACTAGAACAATGTTGCAGCGGATTAGACACACATATCTCATTCTGACAACTAGAATAATGTTGCAGCGGATTAGACACACATGGCTCATTGTGACAACTAGAACAATGTTGCAGCGGATTAGAGACATGTCTCATTGTGACAACTAGAACAATGTTGCAGCGGATTAGACACACATGTCTCATTGTGACAACTAGAACAATGTTGCAGCGGATTAGACACACATGTCTCATTGTGACAACTAGAACAATGTTGCAGCGGATTAGACACATATGTCTCATTGTGACAACTAGAACAATGTTGCAGGGGATTAGACACATATGTCTCATTGTAACAACTAGAACAATGTTGCAGCGGATTAGACACATATGTCTCATTGTGACAACTAGAACCATGTTGCAGCGGATTAGACACATGTCTCATTGTGACAACTAGAACAATGTTGCAGCGGATTAGACACATATGTCTCATTGTGACAACTAGAACAATGTCGCAGCGGATTAGACACACATGGCTCATTCTGACAACTAGAACAATGTTGCAGCGGATTAGACACACATGGCTCATTCTGACAACTAGAACAATGTTGCAGCAGATTAGACACACATGGCTCATTCTGACAACTAGAACAATGTTGCAGCGGATTAGACACACATGTCTCATTCTGACAACTAGAACAATGTTGCAGCGGATTAGACACACATGTAAAAAAATGCAATCTTGAAACAATGAGCTGGGACATTTTCATGCCTGAGCTAACTCTGCAACATGCACACTGGAAAACTATGCTCATGGCGACAGGGCTGAATGACCACAATGGTGTGGCTAAGGATCAGATGAGTGTGTCTGTGTTCTCCTGTTCTTTCTTGGCTTGCTTTTAAGCTGGACTGCTCTACTAACATTTTGCCATGATACAAATGCCGTCTATCAGCAGCTGTATCCCCTGATTCAATGGCCAACAGTTGTCAGATCATTTACATGTGACATCTTTACATTCACATGAACAATTTCATGTTGTCAGGTCACAACTGTCTGCCTGATATATTCAGTATGGTCTCATGATAATTATCCTATATATTTTGTGTTGTCACATGACAACTGCCTGATTAACTAAACAGCTAGACCCTACATCCAAACAACTGACAATGTGTCAGGGCAACAGTGATGTCAAAGTTTCCAGTCTAATATGACGTCAAGCAACTAGAACTGACCTGGGCCACTGATCCGAGAGTCTGTAGACACTGGAGATGTGGACAGAGTCGGTGAAGGCTTTTGCTGACTTGCCAAAGACTGGAGGCGGTTGTGCTGAATGTGCTGCTGCTGCTGCACCTTTGGGGATTCCACATGATGTCTCTGTGTCTCTGCTGGAGGTTCTACATCTGATTCAGAGTCTGAACTAGTGACAACAGGTTCAGGAGGTTTGATTTCCTGTAAGTGCAGACAAGGCTGAAGATGCTCTTCCCTTTCTCTCTCCATCTGAGGAGACAAAGCCAACAGCTAAAGATGTAACCATATTAGTCAGCAAAATATTTGGAATCACCATAATAATAGCAAAAGTAGTTTGCATTTTTTTAATGTGGACTTCTAGTAATTTCCCCTGGTCTCTGGGTAGTAGTAACGGACGTCTGTGTGTATTGTTGCACACATTAAACAAAACAAAAAAATCACTTGATAGTGGGAAATTGCAAAAAGTTACCTAATGGCGTTGCCCAAGCAAAAATTTAAAGTTACAAAGTAGTTCAGCATTATTGCCGGTGCTGGTGCACTGCATTGAGATTCTTTGGACTCAGGCTCATTAGAAGCAGAACGGAGCACTTATGTTGTGCCATGACGTTTATCCATTTTTCAAACCAACAAACCATACTAGTCAGCAATAGTAGATGGAAACACCATATAAATGAGCAAGAGTAGCTAAAATAACCATATGAGTCAGTAAATAGTAGTTGCAATAACCATATTAGTAGCAATGAGTAGTTGGTATCACCATATTAGTCAGCAAGAGTAGTTGGAAAGCCCACAATATTATTTAGCAAGAGCAATCGGAATCACCATGATAGTAGTCAGCAAAAGAAATTGGTATCAGCATATTAATCAGAAATAGTAATTGGAATCCTTACGATATTAGTCAGCAAGAGTAATTGGAATCCTCATGATATTAGTCAGCAAGTAGAAAAGTAAAGGTCCCTTTTCCCCTCCTTTAGACATATTGGGCTAGACCTGTATGTTTATAGACCAATCAGCACTTGGTGGGTGATGTGGTCAGCATCTGGTACCCACTCAAGGCTGGGTCGACCTGGGAGTCAATGTCCTTTTATCAGTCAGCAAAAGTAGCTGGAAACAAGAGTATCTGGAATCACCACAGTATTAATCAGCAAGAGTAGTTGGAATCACCATGACATTAGTCAACAAGAGTGGTTGGAATCACCATATCAGTCAGCAAGAGTAGATGAAATTGCTATCTTGGTCAGCATGAGTAAATGGAATCACCATATCTGTCAGGATGAGTAAATGGAACCACTATATTAGTAAGCAAGAGCCGATGTCATCACCATATTAGTCAACATCAGAAGTTGGAATCACCTTATTCATCAGCAAGAGTAGATGGAATCACCATACTGGTCAGCATGAGTAGATAGAATCACTATAATAATCAACAATAGTAGTTGGAATCACCATGACATTAGTTAGCAAGACTCGGTGAAGAAGAAGAAGAAGAAGAAGAAGAAGAAGAAGAAGAAGAAGAAGAAGAAGAAGAAGAAGAAGAAGAAGAAGAAGAAGAAGAAGAAGAAGAAGAAGAAGAAGAAGAATCTCCATATTAGTCAGCAAGAGTAGATGGAATCACAATACTGGTCAGCATGAGTAGATGGAATCACTATATTGGTTAGAAAGAGCAGATAAAATCCCCATATTAGTCAACATGCATTGGTCAGCATCAGTAGATGAAATCACCATATTACTCAACAAAAATAGTTGGAATCACCTTCTTCGTCAACAAGTCGTTGGGATCATCATATTTGTTAAGTTAGCAAGAGTAGTTGGAATCACCTAATTTTATTTTTAATTATTATTTCATTCATTCAAATGGTAGGCTACAAACAGAAGTAAGAATTCAATATAAAAAAAGCAAGAGAGGGTTAGAGCACAACATCAGACAAAAGAGGGTTAGAGCACAATGTCAGACAAGAGGGTAAGAGGACAACATCAGACAAAAGAGGGTTAGAGGACAATGTCAGACAAGGGGGTTAGAGCACAACATCAGACAAAAGCGGGTTAGAGCACAATGTCAGACAAGAAAAGGGTAGAGCACAATGTCAGACAAAAAAAGGGTAAGAGCACAACATCAGACAAAAGAGGGTTAGAGCACAACATCAGACAAAAGAGGGTTAGAGCATAATGTCAGAGAAGAGAGGGTTAGAGCACAATGTCAGACAATAGGGTAAGAGGACAACATCAGACAAAAGAGGGTTAGAGGACAATGTCAGACAAGAGGGTTAGAGCACAACATCAGACAAAAGAGGGTTAGAGCACAATGTCAGACAAGAAAAGGGTAAAGCACAACATCAGACAAAAGAGGGTTAGAGCACAACATCAGACAAAAGAGGGTTGGAGCATAATGTCAGACAAGAGAAGGGTAGAGCACAATGTCAGACAAAAGAGGGTTAGAGCACAATGCCAGACAAAAGAGGATTAGAGCACAATATCAGACAAGAGAAGGGTAGAGCACAACATCAGACAAAAGAGGGTTAGAGCACAATGTCAGACAAGAGGGTTAGAGCACAACATCAGACAAAAGAGGGTTAGAGCACAACATCAGACAAAAGAGGGTTAGAGCACAATGTCAGACAACAGGGTTAGAGCACAACATCAGACAAAAGAGGGTTAGAGCATAATGTCAGACAAGAGAAGGTTAGAGCACAATGTCAGACAAGAGAAGGGTTAGAGCATAATGTCAGGCAAGACAAGGGTAGAGCACTATGTCAGACAAGAGAAGGTTAGAGCACAATGTCAGACAAGAGAAGGGTAGAGCACAGTGACAGACAAAAGAGGGTTAGAGGACAATGCCAGACAAAAGAGGATAAGAGCACAATGTCAGACAAGAGAAGGGTAGAGCTCAATGTCAGACAAGAGGGGGTTAGAGCACAACACCAGACAAGAGAAGGTTAGAGCACAGTGCCAGACAAGAGAGGGCTGCAGCACAATATCAGAAAAAAAAGGGTTAAAGCACAATGAAAGACAAGAAGGGGTTAGATCACAACGTCAGACAAAAGAGGGTTACAGCACAATGTCAGACAAGATAGGGTTAGAGTACAATATCAGACAAGAACGAACGGACAAAACTTTACTTTCAAAGGGTCACAAACAAGGCACACAGGCCTGTCTTACATTTGGCCCTTCCAAACTCCCATCTTTCACACAGCAGTTGTATTATATCAATAAAGCATGTTATGTTCATGTAATAATATGCATATTATGAATATCAAGTCAAAAACAAAAACATGGGTGGTAAAATGCATGCAGAAACTCGCGCGGGAACACACCCACCCACATATACATGCAAACCCATTCACTCACACACACATAGGCACCCAATACACATATACATACACAGTCACCTACACAGACACACTCTCACAAACACACACAACCCAGACACATACATACACACAGCTATACAGAAACACAAATGTAGCCATGCAAAAAGACACCTACAAACACACACACTGATGCACACAGACACACACACAGCACCAGGCACACACACACATACAGGTACCTACGCAACACGCACTCAGATACATGCAGACACATAAACCGACATAAACAGAGACAAACGCACAAGCAGACATTACATAACAGACACACCCAGATACACACAAAGCCACACATACAGACACGCACAGCCACAGAGGCACACGCAGCCACACACAGACACATAATGGCACTCACATACACACCTACAGACGCACAAACACAGATGCAGACACACGCACACATTATCAAAAAGACATACACACAGATACACATGAAGCCACACGCACACATTATATAACTGACAAACCTAAAGAGACACACAGATACACCCAAAGCCACACACACAGACACGCACAGCCACAGACACACACACTGACATACACACCCACATACTAACACACCCACAGATGCACAAATACTCACACTGACACGCAGACGCACACACAGATATACACGAAGCCACACATGTAACACCTACAAGACACTGCCACTCACAGAGACAAACACGCAGCCACACTCAGACATAAACACATAGACACACACACACACACAGAAACACATGCAGCCACACATACATATATATACAAAAACACACGCACCCACAGACACACAAACACATACTGACATGCACACGCACACATATGCATATAGACGCACCAACACAGCGACACTAACAGACAAGCACACACACACACACACACAGAGACACGCAGATGATACAGACTCATGTACAGACACACACAGACATACACTTACACAGACCCACAAAGACGTATACACAAACTTATAGTCACCCTTACATTCACTCATACGTACACTGAATCATACATACACAAACACACCTACACACGCAGGCATGTCACACATTTACACATATTATAAACACTGTAATTAATTATAAACAAGTAACGCAATGTGGATTATTAACTTTACTGTTTGAAAAAAAAAAAAACAGAAACGCATAGTTATCCGATGGATTAGTTTGTAAATAAAATATTGTACTCGGGTATGTGAAAAGCAGACTCAAATGTTGTTTACCGTGTCAATTAGAGATGTGGGCGTGAATTTCGTGGGTTTTTGTAACTGTTGCAACACAGTGGTCAATTGTGTTTAAGACCATATTTGTGAGCATAGCTCACGATACGCGCATGAGAAAGCAACATAATTTGCGGTGCACACTATTCACTGCCTACACAATTTAAACCCCATAAAAGGATAATGCTACACCAAAACCATCACTTCATTTTCAAGCAGTCATAAATGGCACCTCTAACAATAAATTACAGGTTGCCAGCCATATAAGCGTGCATCAGACTACCATCAGTCGACCATCACCGGTTCCAAGCCACTGGTTTAGTTGAATACCGACATTGCAGTGGACGCTCAGAGACAGGTTTACAACAACTTCCTCAACTGCACAGGCATTGCCTCCTGGGTGGCATGTGTCTGATCAATCTGTTCGGAACAGACTGCACGATGTTGAACTTTGGGCTTGACTATCACATCGAGGACCTGTCCTTACGCGTCACCACCGAATAGACTTCTCTGGGCCAACCAACATCGTCCCTCGGCAAGTGAAAATCAGTGGAGACGTGTCTGATTCAGTGAGGAGTCTTTCTTTTTGTTGCAGTGTCATAACAGACGGCGTAGGGTCTACCGTAGATGAAATGAAGGTTTAGCCCAAAATTGTGTTGATGAAGCTCTGCTGCACGGTGGTGGAGGTGTAATGGTATGGGGAATGATCAGTTTCAACAGAAGGAGTCAATAGGTACACATTAAAGGAAGCTTGAATGCGCAACGATACGTTCATATAATTCTTGAACCATATGTCCTTCCAATAGATATCTTTTTCAACAGGACAACACTAGACCCCATTCTGCACAGCTTACCACCCAGTTCCTGGCTGCCAAAAACATTCAAACCCTTCCCTGGCCATCCTTGTCTGCAGGATGCTGTGATTGAGCACCTGTGGGATGAGCTGCATGGACGTGTTTGTTGCAGAAAAGTTGTTCCAGCCAATGGTCGTGATCTGTTCCAGGCACTCCAGGAAGAGTGGGCAGCCATCCCACAGGTCCACATCAGACATTTGATCACATCCATGCCCAGGAGATGCCAGTCACTGATCCACGCAAGAAAAGGCCACACACTAGACTAATGGTAAAGGCCACACACTAGACTAATGGTAAAGGCCACACACTAGACTTATGGTAAAGGCCACACACTATACTTATGGTAAAGGCCACACACTAGACTAATGGTAAAGGCCACACACTAGACTAATGGTAAAGGCCACACACTAGACTAATGGTAAAGGCCACACACTAGACTAATGGTAAAGGCCACACACTATACTTATGGTAAAGGCCACACACTAGACTAATGGTAAAGGCCACACACTAGACTAATGGTAAAGGCCACACACTATACTTATGGTAAAGGCCACACACTAGACTAATGGTAAAGGCCACACACTAGACTAATGGTAAAGGCCACACACTATACTTATGGTAAAGGCCACACACTAGACTAATGGTAAAGGCCACACACTAGACTAATGGTAAAGGCCACACACTAGACTAATGGTAAAGGCCACACACTATACTTATGGTAAAGGCCACACACTAGACTAATGGTAAAGGCCACACACTAGACTAATGGTAAAGGCCACACACTATACTTATGGTAAAGGCCACACACTAGACTAATGGTAAAGGCCACACACTAGACTAATGGTAAAGGCCACACACTAGACTAATGGTAAAGGCCTACGCTTATAAACTATTGTGACCCAGATGCAAAAAAAAAAAAAAAAAAAAAAAAAAAAAATGAAGTCAATTTATTAGCGGAACCCAAAGGCATTCTTGTGTGAATCTGAGTAATTTCACTTACTGCATTACAAAGATGCAGAATGTCAAAATTGTGAGTATGTTTGTTCCTTTCAGTAACTATGCATTTCTAATTTTTTTAACAGTATACATTTAAGGTGGCTCATAATCACTGGTAATCATGAAATGAAAGAGTTTTCAGAATATGCTAAACTTGTTTTAGGAGGATTAGAGCACCATGTCAGATAAGAGAGGGTTAGAGCACAATGTCCGACAAGAGAGGGTTAGAGCACAATGTCCGACAAGAGAGGGTTAGAGCAGAATGTCAGACAAGAAAAGGTTAGAGCAGAATGTCAGACAAGAGAGGGTTAGAGCACAATGTCAGAAAAGAAAAGGTTAGAGCAGAATGTCAGACAAGAGAGGGTTAGAGCACAATGTCAGAAAAGATATGGATAGAGCACAATGTCGGACAAGACATGGATAGAGCTCAATGTCGGACAAGAGATGGTCTCAGGCCAGGTTGAAACATCGAATTGATCTATGGACAAACAAATGATTTACCCGAGCCACTTCTGTCTCTGCATCAGGATGGCCATCATCAAATAGTTTCCTTTTGATTTCTTCAAACTCTTCTTTCTCTCTCTGACGGTCTCTGTTATCTAGTTCTTTCTCTTTTTCTCGTTCTTTTAATCTCCTCATTAAGGCACTGCCTCTAAGGAATTGGTAAGAAGTAGTCAGGGGATCAGTTGCATTTGTTGGAGCATAAATAATCAAGAAACAATAATTGTATGATATAGTGCTGTTTGAGATTACAACCGTGTGCAAACTGACGTCAACAAACTCAGAAGGAACTGGCCCAAATTGTTGTGAATGACACACATTAACTTGGGCTTTTAAACAGCATTTTGATGTCTGTGGTGGAAGTGACCAAGTGTTAGCAATCTTCCTTCAGTCAACTGAGTCAAGAATTGACATAACAGAACTCGGAGCATTCCAATGTGTGCTCCATCCTCATCTTTAGCAGCCAGTGCAGAGTTCCAATACTGAAAGTACCAGTCACAATCTGGTTATATGTCCGTCTTGCCTTTCCTCTGACTGTAGTGAGCCGGCCAGACCCTCTGGTTACATCCAGGTGCCTTATTCTCTCCAGGCCATAATAATAATCGTTCTCTACCGATTCTGTTGCTTAGTCCCAAAGAGCCTTGACCACATCTACCTTGTCATGTATCATGTCACCCAGTGGTGATGATCCAGCCAATCTGTCTGTCTGTCTATTACCCAATATGCCTGAATGGCCTGGAGAAAAGATCCAAAGTATGCTCACTATGCAAGACCTTTCCGGTGAAGCTTGCCACTCTGCTCCAAGTATCCCTGTCTTTGCCTGCTTTCAGAGTCTGTTACAATTATTACATGTGTATGCATCTTGTTCTCTAGCCATCGGAGAGCTGCAGTTACCACCTCCACCTGCATTCTCATGCTAGATTTTGTGATTCTGTATGCTAGGTTGTCTTGCACTAAAGATTTTCCATTGGCTTTAGCTTTGAACTCCCAGGCAGTTCTCTTTCCTCTCAACACTGAACCATCTGTATAGATATTTAAATCACCTGGGCGTGAATTGCCCTGAACCAACTGTTGGACTTCCACCTCCGTAGCTCCTACATTCAATGTAAGTACCTATATGTTGTGTGCTGATTTGGTAGTGTGTAATATTGTGTGAAGGGACAGAGTAGTATGAGAGTACTTTCTGTGAGTTCAAGGGGAATAGTGTCAACATCGGCCCGAGTATTGAGGGGGAGACAATGTTGACCAGTGAAAATGTATTATTATGAACGAGGCGTGCACGCACGAGAAAGTAGACGCGTGGGTTTACTGTGTGGAGGCTGACAAGCATGGGTAAGAGAAGAACAGAGAAAGACTGAATTACGTGACAGCGTGATTCTCATGTAACATCAGCCACCCACAAAAACGTGATCCTTAAGAACGCTCACGTAAGCGTGATTTCTCATGTAAACCAGCCACCCACATGAGTTTAGCAGAGATAAATTGGGCTAAGTAGTCAGTCCGAGTCCAAGAGTCAGAGCAAGAGAGACAGAGAGAGAGAGAGGGTCAGTTATTATCTCTCTTGAGTAAGATGGAGTGCCGTATAACTATCAGGCATCAAGGTCTGAGTAAAAGTTGAGGGTGCGGTACTGGTCGAAGATATAGTCCCGCTGGCGAAGTAAGTCCAAGGGGACGGTGTCACAACCCTGTGAGTACAGTCAGTGGCGGAATGGACCACACCGTAGGGTGTACCGAGTTCAGGTGACACCCCAGGGTTGACACAAACGTCAATGCCGTGACTGGCCTAGTCTGTGCTGTTCACGGTGAAACTATCGCTCAGTGGAGACCAATTGAGGATGACGGGAAAGAGTGAACTCTGTTGCAAACCAGGGGCAGGTGAACAGGTCAAAAGAGATGAGGTGAAAGAACACAGGGGATTGAGTGGACAGCGTTCGGACCGAGCAGACGTGGTAGCGAGACTGATAGTATATTAGAGTTAGGATATTTCTTTAGTGACTGCGTAGAGTATTTACAGTATTCTGTTAAAATAGGAGTCTTTTGTGCTGTGTATTCAACTGGTACAAGGTATTGTGTTGTGCCACAATAAGTTACTAGTGTCCATTTATTTCTGACCAGTTAAATCGTTTAAGTACATGTTCTGTGAGAGACACGCTGACCCTGCACTAGACAGAGGCTGCGACATCTTGGGTGGTCAGTGTGTCGATAGGTAAGAGCGTATCTCGTGCCAGTGTGGTTTGTGCACTGGAGATTGCCTGTGGAACGTACTGGAGAGCGAGGCGACTGTAAAGCTCGTTCGGCCAGAAGGTTGAGGCAATTAGAGGGGGGGGGGGGGGGGGGGCACACAGCGGGAAGTCAACTGTCTATTGTATTAACTGTACTTGCAATAAAGATTGTCGTGTGTGCTCTGTGTGCGTTCGGGTTCAGTGTGTGTTAAAGGTTAGTTTGTCTGTCATAGGCCCAGTTACGAGCCACTGACCATCAAGGTCACCCCGAGGTCTGTGACAGATGGGATGCTCCAATAGTAACTGTTCTGGGTGTCGATGACGAGAGATGTGTGCCAGAGGGGACTTGTGTTAGAGGTCCTGTCAGTCACACACAGCGGGAAGTCAACTGTCTATTGTATTAACTGTACTTGCAATAAAGATTGCCGTGTGTGCTCTGTGTGCGTTCGGGTTCAGTGTGTGTTAAAGGTTAGTTTGTCTGTCATAGGCCCAGTTACGAGCCACTGACCATCAAGGTCATCCCGAGGTCTGTGACAGATGGGATGCTCCAATAGTAACTGTTCTCGGTGTCGATGACGAGAGATGTGTGCCAGAGGGGACTTGTGTTAGAGGTCCTGTCAGTCATCGGAGTCCTTCGACATGCTGTGTGATGGAGAACGGCGAGGAAGTTCGTCTCCAGTCAGCTGTGGTTGTCTGCTAAAATAATATCAAGGTCCAGTGGATAGGAGAATTCATCCTATTCAGCTGTATGGCGAGCCCAGCATTGTGGGACGCTGTAGACCTTTGGTAGCTGTAGTGGTCAGGGACAGAACTCGCAAGTTGAGAGAGAGCAAGTGAGGACTAAATGGACTATGTGCGAATGTCAATTGGGATCAATGTCTACGTCTCTGCAGTTTTGTTGATATGAGGGCGTGTGTATACCCTCTTGTGCTCTGTCAAATAAACCTGGTGTATGGTGGAAACTACTGCGGTTGAGTCCTGCTTCGAGTGAGAGGGAGCGAAAGTTATACCGTCTGGACACTTGGAAGTGTGCTGATTAGTGTGTAACTCAGATAGCACACAACACTATACATGTATCCTGTGTGGCAGATTTCATGCCTGACGATGCTGCTTGCAGGCAGACCACATATTTTGAAATATGCCAGAAATGTCTCTTTTGGTACTATGGCAAATCTTCCTTAGGGAAATTCAATATAGTCAAGCAAATTGTGTCTTGGAAAGGAGACCAAAAACAACCGGTGTCCTGGGCTGGGTACCAATACAGCTGACTAAATGTTTAATTAAGAATCGACAGCGCAGCACTCAGGACATCTCCATAAGGGATCTGTCCCAATCTTCAGCAGCAAGTGCAAAGTTCTTGTTTCAATAGTACAAATAGCAGTCTATCCGTCTCACCTTTCCCTTGAGTGCAGATCGACCAGATCCTCTAGTCACTTCTCGCAGTACCATGCTCTTCAGGTCATAATGATCCATCTGTGCTTCCACACTGTTCACACGCCCCCAAAGGGCCATTAAAACATTTAACTTGTCATGCATCATTTCATCACTAAGTTGTGCAGAACAGCCAGTCTATCTGCCTTTTTATCTCCAAATACACTGGCATTTCCTGGGGAAAATCACCAAAGGATGCTAACTACCCGAAGCCTCTGAGGCAATGCTTGTCACTTTTCATGAAGCATACCCGTTTCATATCCCTTGATGCTAAAACCTTAAATACCTGGAGAACTTTTTGGCATTTTGCCGCAACCGCCTCAATTTGATCCCTGAAGGTTAGACTTCTATCAAAAGTTATACCCAGGTACCTCAGTTTGCTTTCTTTTTTGATGTTACTGTCATTAGTTGTGAGACCTGGAACATCAGCTCTTGCCATTCTATGCCATTCTATTCCAGAGAGCACCACAAAACAGCCGTTTGTTCTGGTAGGTGACAGCTCCCACTTCTGCACAAGTGTCAGTAATTTTGTCTATAGTTGTCTGTAGATCTTAGGCTGTCTGATGCCCCTATGCAAGAACATAATCTGCTAATGTCAATATTCTTCCAACCTAGCAGCAGAACTTCTTATCTGTACATAGGAACCTTCAGCGCCTCAAAAAGACTCACAACCCCCCCCCCCCCCCCCCCCCCCCCCCCCAATTATATATGGCTGGGAGGGAAAGGTATCCCAAACGCACAGGCAAGTTCGTGAGAAGTTTCTAAAATAATGTTAAGGACTTACTTGTAAAACTTGGGATCATCTTTCAAGTCATCATAGTCTTCTAAAAACTCTTTTAGCCTTCTTGCCTCTCTAGCCTAAAATAAACAGTCTTAGGGTTAACAATTTCTTGTATTGTGTGTGTATCTCAGCATGAACAGGTTAGAATATAATGTGTATCCCACCTAAGGATATATTTATAGTGTGTGTATCCCACAATGTACATGCTAGAATATAATGTGTATCCCATCTAAGGATATATTTATAGTGTGTGTATCCCACAATGTACAGGTTACAATATTTATAGTATATGAATCCCACCCAAGGATATATTTATAGTGTGTGTGTCCCACAATGTACAGGTTATAACAAGTATAGTATGTGTATCTCACCATGGACATATTCTAATATTTATAGTATTTGTATTTCACCATGACCATGTTTTAATATTTATAGTATTTGTATTTCACCATGTACATATTATAAAATTTATTGTAACCAAGTTATGTGTGTGTGTGTTGTCAGCCAACAAGCACTAGTCAGCCAACAAGCACTAGTCAGCCAACAAGTATTAGTCAACAAACAAAGCTCTAGTCAACAAACTAACAAGCTCTAGTCAACAAACAAACAGGCTCTAGTCAGCCAACAAGTACTAGTCAGCCAACAAGTATTAGACAACAAACAAGGCTCTAGTCAACAAACAACAAGCACTAGTCAGCCAACAAGCACTAGTCAGCCAACAAGCTAGTCAGCCAACAAGCACTAGTCAGCCAACAAGCACTAGTCAGCCAACAAGCTCTAGTCAGCCAACAAGCACTAGTCAGCCAACAAGCTCTAGTCAGCCAACAAGTACTAGTCAACAAACAAACAAGCTCTAGTCAGCCAACAAGTACTAGTCAACAAACAAACAAGCTCTAGTCAGCCAACAAGTACTAGTCAGCCAACAAGTACTAGTCAATAAACAAACAAGCTCTAGTCAGCCAACAAGCACCAGTCAGTCAACAAGCTCTAGTCAGCCAACAAGTACTAGTCAACCAACAAGCTCAAGTCAGCCAACAAGCACTAATCAGCCAACAAGCACTAGTCAGCCAACAAGCTCTAGTCAGCCAACAAGTACTAGTCAGCCAACAAGCACTAGTCAGCCAACAAGCACTAGTCAGCCAACAAGTACTAGTCAACAAATGAACAAGCTCTAGTCAGCCAACAAGTACTAGTCAACAAACAAACAAGCTCTAGTCAGCCAACAAGTACTAGTCAACAAACAAACAAGCACTAGTCAGCCAACAAGCTCTAGTCAGCCAACAAGTTCTAGTCAGCAAACAAGCTCTAGTCAGCCAACAAGCACTAGTCAGCCAACAAGTACTAGTCAACAAACAAACAAGCTCTAGTCAGCCAACAAGTACTAGTCAACAAACAAACAAGCACTAGTCAGCCAACAAGCTCTAGTCAGCCAACAAGTTCTAGTCAGCGAACAAGCTCTAGTCAGCCAACAAGCACTAGTTAGTCAACAAGCTCTAGTCAGCCAACAAGCTCTAGTCAACAAACAAACAAGCTCTAGTCAGCCAACAAGTACTAGTCAGCCAACAAGCTCTAGTCAGCAAACAAGCTCTAGTCAGCAAACAAGCTCTAGTCAGCCAACAAGCTCTAGTCAGCCAACAAGTACTAGTCAGCCAACAAGCTCTAGTCAGCCAACAAGTACTAGTCAACAAACAAGTACTAGTCAAAAAACAAACAAGCACTAGTCAGCCAACAAGCTCTAGTCGGCCAACAAGCACTAGTCAGCCAACAAGCTCTAGTCAACAAACAAACAAGCTCTAGTCAGCCAACAAGTACTAGTCAACAAACAAACAAGCTCTAGTCAGCCAACAAGCACTAGTCAGCCAACAAGCTCTAGTCAGCCAACAAGCTCTAGTCAGCCAACAAGCTCTAGTCAGCCAACAAGCAATAGTCAACAAACAAGCACCAGTCAGTAAACAAGCACTAGTCAGTAGTAAACAAGAACTAGTCAGTCAATAAGTACTAGCTAACATATAAAAAAAAAAAAAAAAAAAAAAAAAAAACTGACCTCTTCAGTCTTTCTTTCTTCCTCTCTTTCTTTTTCTTTGTCATATTCCCTAGCCTTCTTTCTTTCTCTGCCTTCCCAAGCCTTGAGTCTCTGCAAAACCAAAAAAGAAACAAAACATTGTTGCAAGTCGGTGTGATGACTTGTCAATGAAAGCTTGCAGACATCAAATATTAGGGACTGCATTCTGTCATGATCTATCAGAGAATGAGACAAGCAAAGCATCAGCTAACATGTTCAATGAGACAAGCAAAGCATCAGCTGACATGTCCAATGAGACACACACAGCATCAGCTGACATGTCCAATGAGACACTCCCAGTATCAGCTGACATGTTCAATGAGACACACAAAGCATCAGCTGGCATATTCAATGAGACACACACAGCATCAGCTGACATGCCCAATGAGACACACACAGCATCAGCTAACATGTTCAATGAGACACACAAAGCATCAGCTAACATGTTCAATGAGACACACAAAGCATCAGCTAACATGTTCAATGAGACACACAAAGCATCAGCTGACATGTCCAATGAGACACACAAAGCATCAGCTGGCATGCCCACTGAGACATACACAGCATCAGCTGGCATATTCAATGAGACACACACAGCATCAGCTAACATGTTCAATGAGACACACAAAGCATCAGCTAACATGTTCAATGAGACACACAAAGCATCAGCTGGCATGTTCAATGAGACACACAAAGCATCAGCTGGCATGTTCAATGAGACACACAAAGCATCAGCTGGCATGTTCAATGAGACACACAAAGCATCAGCTGACATGTCCAATGAGACACACAAAGCATCAGCTGACATGTCCAATGAGACACACAAAGCATCAGCTGACATGTTCAATGAGACACACAAAGCATCAGCTAACATGTTCAATGAGACACACAAAGCATCAGCTAACATGTTCAATGAGACACACACAGCATCAGCTAACATGTTCAATGAGACACACACACAGCATCAGCTAACATGTTCAATGAGACACACAAAGCATCAGCTAACATGTTCAATGAGACACACACAGCATCAGCTAACATGTTCAATGAGACACACAAAGCATCAGCTAACATGTTCAATGAGACACACAAAGCATCAACTAACATGTTCAATGAGACACACAAAGCATCAGCTGACATGTTCAATGAGACACATAAAGCATCAGCTGACATGTCCAATGAGACACACAAAGCATCAGCTGACATGTTCAATGAGACACACAAAGCATCAGCTGACATGTTCAATGAGACACACAAAGCATCAGCTGGCATGTCCAATGAGACACACAAAGCATCAGCTGACATGTTCAATGAGACACACAAAGCATCAACTAACATGTTCAATGAGACACACAAAGCATCAGCTGACATGTCCAATGAGACACACAAAGCATCAGCTGACATGTCCAATGAGACACACAAAGCATCAGCTGACATGTCCAATGAGACACACAAAGCATCAGCTGACATGTTCAATGAGACACACAAAGCATCAGCTGGCATGTTCAATGAGACACACAAAGCATCAGCTGGCATGTTCAATGAGACACACAAAGCATCAGCTGACATGTTCAATGAGACACACAAAGCATCAGCTGGCATGTCCAATGAGACACACACAGCATCAGCTGACATGCCCAATGTGCCACTGACAATGCTGTGCTCATCCTTGAAAAAACAGCAGTTAGCACTTTACATTGTGGTTTACAGCTAGATTGTGAGATATGTGCCTTGCAAAGGATTTATAGCCAAATTCACCAACTTGTATTTTTGAATTGCTCGCATGTGTACCGGGCATATGTGGTACTTTACTCGTGGGTATAAGCATGCAGATATAGTGTTTTAAAATCTTTTTTGGTGGCAGCCAGGGGCAAATTGAAGTCATGTCTACTTTAGACCTATTACTTGAAGGAGAGAGGACAATCATACAGAGAGGGAAGAAGACAGATGCTGAGAGATAGCGGGAGAAACAGTGTGGAAAAGAGACTTAGAGAAACAATGAGGAAAGAAGGACAGGCAGATAAATACATACATTTCATTCCATAATTTTGAATTCCAACAAATCTTTGCACACATAAAGAAGATGGTGACAGTATGTGCACATAAGTTGATGTCAGTTCTGTGATAGTATCATAGACAGCATGTACAGCACATACAGATAATAGTTCTGTGACAATATCACGGACAGCACATTCAGCTGTACGGTATCATGGACAACATGTGCAACAGATACAGCTGATGATAGTTCTGTAACAGTATCATGGACAGCATGTTCATCCCACATAGTTGATGATAACGGTTCTGTGACAGTATCATGGACACACAACAAATATAGTTGTTGATAGTTATGAGTTTTGATTTGGGTTATCTTCATGGCACTCCGGACACATCCAGAGATATGTTCTGTGACCGTTGCATGGAAAGCATGTAAAACACACACTGTCACACAGTTCTGTTATAGTATCACAGATAGCACTAACAGGTGATGACTACAGTATCAAGGACAGTGTGGTCCAGTCAATCAGCAGAAGCAACTCCATCCCACATGGAACATTCTCATTTCAAACTCACCTCTTGGTATGCTGCTTCTTTCTCGCGCAATTTCTTTTCCAGTTTCCTCCTTTCATAAGCTTCTTCCTCCTCCTCTATCTCTTTTTCTTTCCGCCTTTCAGAGAAAAGAAAAGTACAGAGCATGAAGCACAGAAAAAAACCCAGCAAAGAACAAACAATAGCCACAGTTAATATAGCAGGGAAAGCAAACGTTACAGTAGGCAAGGAACAACAGCAACAGCCACAGTAAATACAGAAAGAACGCAAATGTAACAGCAAGACATCAACAACAGCCATAGTAAAAAGGGCCAGGAAAGCAAATGTCACAGTACGCAAGGTACAAGCAATAGCCACAGTAAACAGGGCAGGGAATGCAACTGTCAGAGTAAGTAAGGAACAACAGCAAAAGCCATTTTATTGGTTTATTCAATGGATCAACATCATGGCACACGGGTATAACTCTTAGGTGCTCTATTCTACTTATAACTCAAGCGTGAGTCTGAAGAATCTCAGCACAGTGCACGATTTCTGTCGCACCAGCGAGGATCCTGAAATACTTTGGGTAGATTTTTAACTCTAAATTTTGCCGATTTCAACTGCCAAGGTGTTTTTCAACGTGTGCAACAATACACACAGGCATCCAATCTTACTACCCAGAGACCGGCAGAAATTACTACAAGTCCACGTGAAAAAATCTGGATGCCATACATCGAGACCACTCAGCGCCTCCCCCCCCCCCCCCCCCCCAGCCACAGTAAATGGGGCAAGCAGAGCCACTGTCACAGTAAGACAACAGCAACAGCCACAGTAAATAGGGTAGGGAAAGCAAATGTCACATTAGACATGTGAACATTGAATGGTTGGATGTAGATATCTATCAGTAAACATCTACACATGAGACACCTGTAATATTAAATGGTTGGGCGTGGAGAATTCTGATTACCAAGTTATCATTCCCCCCCCCACCCCCCCCCCCCCCCAACAGTGAGAATTCTGCACACACCCAGGAAAGAGAAAAAAAACTTAATTACTGGTTTCCAATTTATGACAGTTCTCTTTCCATGGCCTCATCGCTACACATTTTCCAAGTAACAACATGCCGTCTAAGGAAATGATCACTTGATAAGCACTTCTGTCCAAGTAATATAATGCCTTTAAGGAAATGATCACCTGATCAGCACTATTTGCTAGGTAATTACATGCCGTCTATGGAACTGATCACTTGATTTTGATAAGTACTATTTTCTGGCCATAATAAGGATAGTGCCATGAATTATGCAACAGCTAAGTTATCAAAACTAATGTGACTTACCGCTCCCTTGACCTGTCTCGACTAGTCATCTCTCGTGACCTAGATCTCTTTCTGGAACGTGATGAAACTGGTGATGGTGAATGTGACCTTGATCTGGAGGCTCTTGTACTGACACGGTCTCTGTCACGGTCCCTGTCGCGGTCCCTATCTCTGTTCAACTCTCTTTCTCTCTGCTCCCTAAGTCTCTCCAAGCGCTCTCGTTGTCGTTTTTCCTCTAGCCTACGCTGTTCTCTTTCCCTAATAATATTTCTTTCCCTTTCTTTGTCCTTATCCTTCTCATCATCATCATCCTAGACAGAAATAGGACAACTACATTAGTAGAACAGCAGCACCAACAGTACAACAATTAGCAAATTAACTCATTCCATGACTTGTGATTATTTCTGCTCAGGGCTCTAAACACAAGATGATGTTTCAGCTCAGGTCATGTCTGGACAAACAGCAGAAAACAATTTATCATCTTATCTTAGCTGCACCAGAAGCATGAGCACTTGAAATAATCAAATGAAAGCCATACATCCAGCCTGGACAGTGATCAGTTCACTGAGTGCTACCCTCCAGTTGAACAATGACCACAACAGCCGGGACCAGATCACATACTCAAATCTTTTACCTAGAGTCATTCTTGACCAATGCTCCGAATTGCAGTCATAGTTATATTGATTTTCTGTGTGCAAGACAGAGATGAGAGAAAGACATCCGTACCTGCACAAATGGAGAGACAAGAAAGAGGCAATGATAAGCAAGATGTCACAGAGAGAAAGCAGGAGAGACACAGTGTAGACTAAATTATTACAGGAAGCTGTGTAAGAGAGAGAAAGAGAGGTACAGACGGACAGAAGACTATCATATTAACTTATTGTTAGTCATGTAAACAATTATTATTTGTGTGCAGCTGCAGTTGTTCTGCCGACAAGACAGTTTTCGGTTATGGTTTCTTGTCTGCGACAGTAGGCAGTAGACAGTAGACAGTTAAGCTGCTGTGTGAGGACTCACTTTAGTCTGTATGCAATTATGCCAGGGGTCATTGCAAACGTGATTGCACATGGATATGTAATGCCATGCAAGATGCATATCGTAAAGAAAATCACAAGGACATGCAGGATTCAGTACCTTTTTCCGGCTGGCTGGACATGGAGCTTTCAGGCTGGAGCAGCCAGACATGAACATTTCACCAAGGGGACAAGATGTCTAATTAATCAACACAGATTAGGCCTGACAAAGATTGAACATTTTACTCTCGTGGAGCTACTCAGGAGGAAATCAGAGCACCTATGGATCCGTGATGAGACAGAACAATTCAGTCATGGAAAGACAAGACCAAAAAAGGAGAATAAAGAAATGGAAAAATTACAAGACCAAGATAGGACAATACAGGCATAGAAAAAGGACAAAAAAGACATGAAAGGAGGACAAGACCAACATGTGACAATGCAGATGTGGAAAGAGGTCAAGATCGAGACATGACAATACAGACATGGAAGGAGAACAAGAACAAGACATGACAATACAGACATGGAAGGAGGACAAGAACAAGACATGACAATACAGACATGGAAGGAGGACAAGAACAAGACATGACAATACAGACATGAAAGGAGGACAAGAACAAGACATGACAATACAGACATTGAAGGAGGACAAGAACAAGACATGACAATGTAGACATTGAAGGAGGACAAGAACAAGACATGACAATGCAGACATGGAAAAAGGACAAGAACAAGACATGACAATGTAGACATGGAAAAAGGACAAGAACAAGACATGACAATACAGACATGGAAGGAGGACAAGAACAAGACATGACAATACAGATATGGAACAAGGACAATAAGAAGACATGACAATACAGACACTGAAGGAGGACAAGAACAAGACATGGCAATATAGACATGGAAGAAGGACAAAAACAAGACATGACCATGCAGACATGGAAAAAGGACAAGACATGACAAAGCAGACATAGAAGAAAGACAAAACATGACAATGCTGACATAAAAGGATGACAAGAACAAGACATGACAATGCAGACATGAAAGGAGGACAAGAACAAGACATGACAATGCAGACATGAAAGAAGGGCAAGAACAAGACATGACAATGCAGACATGGAAGAAGGGCAAGAACAAGACATGACAATGCAGACATGGAAGAAGGGCAAGAACAAGACATGACAATGCAGACATGGAAGAAGGGCAAGACATGACCATACAGACATGGAAGAAGGAGCAAACATGGAAGAAGGACAAGAACAAGACATGACAATGCAGACATGGAAGAAGGACAAGAAATGACAATGCAGACATGGAAGTAGAACAAGATGAAGACAGGGCAACATAGACATAACAATAGTTTTGAATAAAAGTGAGAAAGACATGACCATAACAAAGCATATACAAATACAGACGTCAAAGTCACGAAAACAGACATGGTAAAAAAAAAAAAAGAATACAATATATTTCAGACTAAGGGAAAGAAAAAAACACCCGCTACCTAGAAAAGAAATGAAATGGTTTGTACTGTGAGTGAATCTCTCCCTAACCATGTCAACTCCAGTACAAAAGGGGAGGCAATGCTCAGTGACAACTTGTCGGTTTACAAATATATTAATAATATCAGTTGCTTGACATCAACTCAAATGTCTCTGTCTGGCTGTCAGAAACAATTGAACCACATGTTGACATACAACGACAGTGAATTCTAAAGGTCTGACAGCTGCATATAGCCACATAATGACCGCAATTTTCTGCTTAGAAAAACAAAGATATCCTCACATAATGACCACATTTATCTGCTTGGAGAAACACCAGAGATATTACCACATAATGACAAAATTTTCTGCTTGGAGAAACATCATAGATATCCCCACACAAGGACATTTGTCTGCTTAGAGAGGCAGAGATATCCCCACATTTGTCTCCAAGAACAGAAAAGATATCCCCACATTTGTCTCCAAGAACAGACGAGATATCCCCACATTTGTCTCCAAGAACAGAAGAGATATCCCCACATTTGTCTGCTTGGAGAGGCAGAGATATTCCCACATTTTTCTCCAAGAACAGAAGAGATATCCTCACATTTATCTGCTTGGAGAAAAGATATTCCCACATAATAACTACATTTGTCTGTTTAGAGAAACATAACAGGTATTATTTTGTTCTATTCCAGAAATGCCTTGCGGCATCAGGGCAGGAAGAGATCTCTGAAATGGGTTTTGAGTACCTGTCAAAATGTCAAGACAGGGGGGGGGGGGGGGGGTGTGTGTGTGTGTGTGTGTGTGTGTGTGTGGTGTGTGTGTGTGTGTGTGTGTGTGTGTGTGTGTGTGTGTGTGTGTGTGTGTGTGTGTGTGTGTGTGTGTGTGTGTGTGTGTGTGTGTGTGTGTGTGTGTGTGTGTGTGTGTGTGTGTGTGTGTGTGTGTGTGTGTGTGTGTGTGTGTGTGTGTGTGTGTGTGTGTGTGTGTGTGTGTGTATAACTTTTCAGCCAGCTTCTAACCAGGGTTAGGTTTGAATATCACAGAGTGGAAGTTGTGTTAAACTAGTCTGAATGTAAGTCTAGTTGGTGTGACTTTTTAGCAAGTTTGAAAACACTGTGACTGGTCTAGCAAAAAAACAGTAGTTTGCTTAGTGTTCATTGAAAATGAAGCGATCTCACAAACATCAGAGATATCCCCACATAATGACCGCATTTATCAGAAATATCTTGCATAATGAGGACTGTATGTCTTATTGCTAGCAATATGTCAGACCTGTGCTCTTCTAGCTGAGCACATTAACCCTGGAGACTTAACTCTACTGCACCTGCCCATCTGTAATTATTGAATACCCGATCTGTTGCAGCTCCCTAATGTGTATATACATATATCACCTGTAGCAACAGACGACAACATTGAGTAGACACTGACTAGTGACTTACCTTCTACTAACAGCACCCAGGGAGACATTAACCATCACAAAATGTAAGTAGAGGCACTCACCTCTAGCAACAAGCCGAAACAAGTGCCCATCGCTGCTGTAGTGTTGACAGGACATGCCTAAATACCCTCCCCTCACTAGGAGCTAATACAAGGGCTATTACGAAATCAACCTCCGATAGCTTGGTTAAAAACCCCATTCATTGCTTGCATCATTCAGTATTCTTTTAGCTCACTGCCAATCAGCCTAGTCAAATCTGTTCAGTGACTCATGAATCGCAAAACAATAAACATGGACACTGTTACTGTCTTTTATGCCAGCTGTGAAATTCACTGTGTGATTCGCTTTCAAGCAGAAGGTAAAAATGTAGATGAGATCCTCGTCGACTGTGTCATGTGTAAGGTGATAACGTTGTAGAGTGACAATTCTGTGGGGGATTGGTAAATGAAATTCAGGAACAGGCGTAAAGCTGTGCATGTTGAGGGTGGACGATGTTGACATTCATGTGTGACAGATGAGCTCATTGAAAAAAGGTCATCCAAGTTGTGGTGGAACAGAGCCGTTTCATAATTTCTATTTCAGTCTTGTGTCTACTGAATTCCACACATTTTCGGGACTTGTCAGTTTTAACCTGTCACATAGAGGTTAGGTTACCTCAAATTTTGTTCATGGTGGGCACCAAAGCAATAAACTGACGTTCATAAAATTCAATGAATGAGCTCAGTTTGACGTTCCTTCTGCATAACTGCGAATATGGGGATGCATTTCTCGACAGAATAGTGACCAGGGATGGGACCTGGTTTACTTTGTAAATGCAGACTTGAAAGAGCAGTCAAAATAGTGGATGATTACTCATTCTTTAAACAATCAAGCAAACACTGTTTCAATCAAAAACGAATCACACCAAGCATGGTAAATCACTCAAAAAATGTGACTGTAGGTTGATGTGTAGTGAACTAATAGACTACTGAATGGCGGAAACGCTACGGCAAAGGTTGCCACTCCAAACCCCCACAAAAAAAGCCTCACTGCTAAATTCTTCAGTGCTCATTATCTTGTGCTGTTTATGTCCCACAGGGCTGGCAGACTAGTGCATCATTCTGTTATATCCTGTACCAGATTAATAATATGCCTAGCATCCTTGACATATCTCAACAACGTTCATCTCAGGGGTTCGCTTGAACATCCTCATTTTCTCAATCTATCTGTTTCCCATTTCAGTGCCTGTTTGTTATTAACTGTGCTTGAATGCATCCCATTTAATATTCATCACTGTCCTGTGGCATTTGTTCAGTCGATCAAGCTTCTACAGATCTCTGCATAAAAAAGTCTATGCCTATCCCCAGGATTCAAACCCCCTGCCAATGCCTAAAGTAAATGTGCTAGCAGCTCAATCGATGGCACAGGGGACCCTACCTGGAGCTCACAAGCCTGCACCAGTACACAGACACCTGAACATGCCAGACCTGCATGTGGATGAGCAACCTCCATAAATGGATTCTGAGAGACACAACAACTGAGATAACACTTACCACCTCCAGCACTTTCAATATATTTATGCATGAGTCTCGGGCAGCTTGCCACTTAGCAGAATCTAGTGTTTTTTGGTAACAAAAAATGCCTATTAAAGTTACTCATCATTAGCAGGTTGATAGCATCTTATGAGTATATACAAAAATCACCATCTTTAATGTGATGACAAATGTGGTGCTACCAGGTTGAACTAGGGTGTACAATGACCTTATGCTACAATTAATATGAAACTTCTATACTTCTCATTATCTTCTGAGTTGCCTGATACATGCTCTACAAGCCTGGCTTCTACTTTTGTGATACCTGCTCTGTACAAGGTGCCAGACAACCATGAATATTTCTGCCACCACTATTTTCTGCATCATCAACTGATTTGTTCCACTTAAAATATGTCTGAGAAGCTAGTTTATCAGTCAGGACAGCTAAGGACATGGGATTTTGGGTCAATGAACCATGTACACACAAACATGGCATGGGATGTAACCTTACATGACACAGGTAAAGAAGTCACTGTCTGATACAGTGCAGACTAGCGGTTGTAGATAATTTTCTAAACAAACAATTCTAGATTGAGTCAATGTAGGAAGATCCTCTGATAAAACAATTCAGACTGACAGTCAACGCAGGAGGTTTCTCTAAAAAAAAACAATCCAGATTGACAGTTAGTGTAGGAAGTTCCTCTGAAAAAATAATTCAGACTGACAGTCAATGCAGGTTGTTCCTCTGAAAAAAACATTCCAGCTTGACAGCCAATGAAAGATGCTTCTCTTTAAAAAAAAAAATTGACAGTCAAAAATGTAAGAAGTGCCTCTGATAAAATAATTCACCAGATGGACAGTCAATGCAGGATGTTATTCTGATAACATTCAACTCTGGAACCATCTGCATTTCTCTAGAACTGAAAGCAAAACTAATGCACAATGCCCAATAAAAACTGTCAAAGAGAAACGCTGTGCCAACCCACCTTGTGTCTATCTCTGAATTTATGAATTTCCCTGTTGATGATCTCCCGCTTGTCATCTTCCAGGTCCATATCTTCAAAACCCTGCAACAGCAACGTTTAGATCTCAAAACACAGAGTTACACAACACCCACTTGATCATGATACAAAGTCATGGAGCACCAATGTGAACCATGATAGTGAGCCATGCAACACCCATGTAAACATTGTACACTAAGTCATACAACACCCATATGAACATGATAGTGAGTCATGCAACACCAGCCTGAACGCATGATACACTGAATCACACAACACCCACCTGAATACATGATAAACTCGGTCACACAACACCCACTTGAGACCATGATACACTGAGTCAACATGTGACAGAGTAAAGTATACACACAATTTTATCTCCCATGCTCTACATGCGGTTACGTTCAAAAGGAAGGATTGAACCCATCCCTATCAACTAGCTATGGAGTATACTAACAAAACAAAAGTTGAAGTGCATTCAATAACTACCTAACTGGATTAATTATTCAAATCTACCAGCGAGTATCTGAGTTAACTGTTTAAAGCAGTAAAGAATTGCAGTAGGTGCAAAATATTCCCCACTGAGCGAATGACTTGTACTTAGTGTCATTAAATAATTACCTAGATAAGATTTTAAAAAGTATTAAATTCTGAAGACAAGCTACCTCCTGCCGAGTTTGACACGTATTTTGATTTGATGGTTACATGTTGTCAATACCCAGTACAATTAAGGGTCAGATTGTCCAAATGAAATTAAATATGGAATCTCATTGGATCTGGAATTTAGGTCGAAAACATAGAGTGACCTGAACTTCTCATAAGGATGTTGTGGAGGAGACAGAGTCAATGATGATGTTCCCAGAAGAGCAGTACACTCAGTAGTGCAAGAAGTGCATTACTTGTTACATGTTCCACCAACTCAGGCACAAAGCAAAAGACTGCAGAGCAAGAAACAGACTTACTAAATCATAAGTTAGTTGTTACAGATGTGGTCAGCCAGGCCACATATCCGATTTTGTTCAGGTGGGTAGAATAAACCAGAAATATAACAGAAGACCAGTATAGACATCAATGCAGAACTGCAGTAACAGAAGACACAAGCAAACAACAAGAAAGAACAACACAGCTTGAGTGAGAAATGAGAATCTCACTCCGTAAACGGGGCTGACTAGAGTGGGAAGAGAAGTAGGGCTCCTAACAACAACACACAAGCACCACAGAACAGAATTAGAGTTCCTAAACAAGTCAAATTCTGCAGAACAGAAGCTTCAAAAGACCTAAAACAGTGCATCATAATTCTAAACCAAGTACAGTCAGAGATCTAAGTTTGTGTACAGTTAAAGTGGGCAGACAAAAGATACGCTTAATGGCAGTTTTGGCACAGAAGACAAGTCTTTTCAAGTCTACAAGACACAATTTGGAGTTTACCCATCAAACCACAAGCTTACAAGCAGTAACAGAAGATCCGCTCAGAGTTATAGGGACAGCAACACTGAAATTTAAAATAGGAGAACTAGAATTGAGTCCTTTATTTTACACTGTCAAAGACATGAGTAGGTCAATGATTTTGGGCAGACATTTTTTACTCAGATATGGTGCCAGAGTTTACTTTGATTTGAAGAAGCTGAAAATTCGAGAGACATACACAGAACTTAAAGATGACATACACAGTGCATCGCTGGAGTCAAGAGAACAGTGGTACTGAAGCCAGTCAGTGAATTTAGTAATAGCCGGTTTGAACTGAAGCCCATACTTCAGACCAGAACAAACAGTCAGAACAAGAGAACCAAAAGGAAACATTCTAGAAGAGCCCAGACTTATGGTCCAGGATGTTATTGTCAAGTTGGGGAAAGGAAGAACATTCCCTGTAATGATATAAAAAAACACAAAGATAAAGAAAGGTTGTGTTATAGGGATCATTGAGGAAGCAAAGAAGACAGTGAGAAATAATCTAGATTAAAAGAAGCCACAAGGTCAACAACAGGTCAATGCACAGATTCAGTGAAACCTTGAATTACTTTATGTTAGGAAGAGTTACACATAACTTTATTTTGCCAAGTGACTTAGAAGAGTTGTCGGCAAACATACAAAGAATTATACCAGAGACACTAGACTTCCCTACTGAAATCCAAAGTGGCATACTGGAACATTACAAGTTCCTTAAATGTGCTGCTGGTGTTGGTGAAACAACGGTTAGTGACTATAATTAAAATACCATCAATAAGACAGAAGAATCAAGTCTGATTTGTCTGTGGTGAACAACATACTAGTACCCCTAAATTGAACATTATGAAGAAAATACCAATGGTCAGACACCAACTTAAATCATCAGCTATAACCATTGATCAAGAAAGAAAAATCTATTCATAAATGGACAAAGAGACACTTCGAACATGTACTCAACATTCATACAAATTTTGTGAAAAGAATCGACTGTTCTCTCGAGTCAACTTAATAATCTGTATATGGCAACATATTTTCTGAACAAAACACAGAATACAGAAAAGTGAAAACACTTGTCCTTGAGACATGATAGTGAGTCTTACAGCTCACTGTTCTACATGCTGTAAAGATAACAGAAGAATGATGGGTTTTGAGCACAAGCCAGAAGATTTAAGTTCACCAAGATTTGGTATGAAGAACATAATCAGATGATAGAATTCTTCAAAGTAGAACCACCTTTGAAGATAATACAGCTGTCAAGATTATGTGAAGTCACAAGCTATCAGTTGCATATCACTGCATACAAATCGTTTAATGGTGTAAAGGTCATTAGAGACTCAACTTTAAACATGTCTCAGAACTTCAACCTCATACAAATCATAGTGAGGAAACCTTTGAAACATTGAGTACCTACGATGAAATTTCAAGATATTCCACAACATCTTAAGAAGATCAAGTTCTTCGATATGCAACAAGTCGTTGAAGAACTGAAGAACACTTCTTCGAAAACTCATTGAAATAAACTGATTGGGTTAACAATAACATGCGTTTAACAACGGTCATAATTTTCAAAATTGTCTAGAGAAGAGGCATGAACTGCCACAAACTAAAGACAATGTTCGTGATAATCAAAACAAAACAACCCTAAGATTACTGAAGAGATATATATATATATAATTATTGTATCAGGTTAAGGTGGTGAATCAGGTGTAAAAATGGCATCATGGTGCAGGCACATAACCGAGAGCATTGATTTCCTGATTTCAATTGTGCATGTTGTTGAAGTTTTGCTATCCAAGGATGCACAATAAGTAAGTGTTATGAATGCATCCCCCCAGATGCCTTTTCAGCGATGTGGCGCGCACTCATGCACGCACGCACATGCGTGCGCGCGCGTGTGCACACACACACAGAGGGGGAGAGAGAGGGAGGGAGGGAGGGAGGGAGAGAGAGAAAAGAGAGGGAGAAAGAGAGAGAGAAGAAGAAGAAGAAGAAGAAGAGAAAGTACCTGTGAGATAGCAGGACAGAACATTAACTTAGACATAACCAGTCAGACTTGGTGGTTATTTAGGCAAACACTGCCACAAACACCCCTTTGAATACATGATAAACCTAGTCACACAACACCCACTTAAGCACATGATACACTGAGTCACACAACACCCCCTTGAGCAAACAATACACTGAGTCATGCAAAACCAGCATGAACAGGTGCACAATTACACACATCTCCCATTTATGTAGATATCAGCACCCCACGCTTGATGTGTTTAGTTGTGGTATAAGACTGTGGATGACTGATGTGTGTATGAAACTTTATGATAACGTATGCACACTGGTCAAGCGGGTTGTTAAGGCAGTCATTGTAAAAGAGTCACGCAACACCCATGTAAACATGGTACACAGTCTGGCAACAACCACAAGAACATGGTACACTGAGTCACACAACAGCCACTTTAACCAACACCCACTTTAACATGATACAGTCATGCAACACCCATGTGAAATGATACCGTGAGTCATGCAACAGTCATGTAAACAAGGTAAAATGAGTCACACAATACCCATGTAAACATGATACATGGAGCAGCCTTGTGAACATAATACAGTGAGTCATGCGACACCTATCCGAACATGATACAGTGAGTCATGCAACACCTATCTGAACATGATACAGTGAGTCGTGCAACATCTATCCGAAACATGTTTCAGTGAGTCATACAACACCCACATGAACATGATACAGTGAGTCATGCAACACCTGCATGAACATGATACAGTGAGTCATGCAACAAGCACATGAACTCATTGATACAGTGAGTCATGCAACACCCACATGAACACGATACAGTGAGTCATGCAACACCTGCATGAACATGATACAGTGAGTCATGCAACAAGCACATGAAGATGATACTCTGAGTCATGCAACACCCACTTGAACATGGTTCATGTGATACACTGTCCTGTTTTTATTAGGAAATCATCAAGCACTCAGATTTGGATTTTATGAACAAGAGGGGATTGGGGTATAATCCCCCCCCCCCCCCCCCCCAAAAAAAAATGAGTGCAGAAAAGAGACAGAATATCTTCCAGTAACAGGAGCAAAGGTTGTTAGCATCTTTCTGTCCTTCCAAACAACACTGTTGCATTGTGGCATAGGAAAGCGTGAAAATCAAAGCCCATGGTAGTTGCGAGTGTGACCAGCAAGACCACTAGTGATCAGAAAAGTCTTCCACAATGAAAGCATGGGATTTCAGGACATGCAAGTAGAGGTCATGGAAACTGAACAGAAATGCTTGTAATATGGACAAACATAAATATAAAGAATTTTTTTACGCAAGACAAATCGATATTAGCACCAAACAGACTATTAAATCTCTAACAGAGCTGATATGCTATGTCTTCTTTCTCGTTGCATAAAATAAACAGGTGGTATCTGGTCCAGACATAGACTATGATGAAGTCAACAGTATCAGCCCCAGCTACAGACGATGATGAAGTCAACAGCATTTGACCCAGCTACAGACACAGACTATGATGAAGTCAACAGTATCAGCCCCAGCTACAGACACAGACTATGATGAAGTCAACAGTATCAGCCCCAGCTACAGACAACGATG